TGGAGCCTATCCTGGCACTGGCTCTGGAGACCAGTCTGGCCTCGTACTCACAGAGATCCTCCTGCCTCTGCCTCCCAAGTGCTGGGATTAAAGGCGTGCGCCACCAACACCCGGCCTGAAGGGTAATTTTTGCGGACTCATTTTTAATTTTATATATCTTAGTGTTTATGTATAATGTAGGTGCTGGGATTTGAACCTCGGTCCTCTGTAGTGGTAGCTAGTGCTCTTTGACAGATAAGTCATCCCTCCATCCTAGGGCATGGTAATTTTGTTGGCAGGTCCTCTCTCTAGACTGTGTGGTTTTGCCGAACAATTGGCTGCAGGGCAGGCAGACCCCTTATGTGTGGGTTTCATCCTACTGCTTTAGGGTGCTATATTATGCTTCTGACTTTGGACGGTTACATTATTTATAATTATATATTCAGTTGCTGTTCTCATTTCTTTCTTTTTTATTCATATTTATTCATTATTTTCCTTTTATTGAAAATAGATGCTTTTTCTCACATAAGATATTCTGATTACAGTTTCCCCTCCTTCTGCTCCTCACAATTCCTCCTGCTTCTCCTCCTATCTGGATCCACTCCCTTTCTGTCTCTCATTAGAAAATAACCATGCTTAATTATACGATATAATTAATGTAATCTAATATGATATGATACAATATAAAAGGCAGAATAGTATAAATACAATATAAACACAGCACACTGAAATAATACAGAATACAAAAGGACAAGAGCCCAAGAGGAGTCACAAGACACAGATGCAGAGACATGCTTGTTCCCACACGAAGGAACCCCAAAGACACAAACTAAAAACCATAATATACATGCAAAGGGCCTAAATGGTAAAAAAGGGAGAGAGAAAAAATATACACATGAACTAAAAATAAAAGTAAAGTAAAAATTAAGATAAAATAAAAAAAGAAAAAGGCCCTGACATGACATTATGAGACAAGGAGCCTCCAAAGACGCCGCCAAGTTCATTTTCTGCTGGTCATCTACTGTGGGACATGCAGCCTGCCCTTAAGAGTGATTTGTCTGCCCAGTGAGATTCCCTTGGAGAAAACTAAATTATCATTTGCAAGTGGTTTTTAATGGAAGTAGCTTCTGAGTGAGGGATGGGGGGCATGTGTGTGCACTTCCCCTTCTGGCTCTAGGATTCCATCTGGTGCAGACCCAAGCATGCCATGTGCATACTGCCACAGTCTCTGTGAGTCCATATGTGCATGATCTTGTTGATTTACAAGGCCTTCTTCTTGGTGTCCTTTGTCCTCTCTGGCCCTTAGAGTCTTTCTGCCTCCTCTTCCCCAGTGTTCCCTGAGCCCTGAGGGGAGGGATTTGATGAAGACATCCAATTTAAGGCTGAGTGCTCTCCATCTATATGTGATCTGGCTGCGGGTTTCTGTATTTGTTCCCATCTGCTGTAGAAGGAAGCTTCTCTGATGGCTGAGCAAGGCACTGATCTATGAGTTTAGCAGAATATCATTAGGAGTCATTTTATTACTAAGTTCTTTTAGCAGAACAGTAGTACTTGGTTTTACTCTAGGTCCTTGGACTATGTAGTCTCAGGTTCTTGGCCACCCAAGAACTGTGTCAGACATGGGTACAGTCTGGGATGTATGTGGGTTTATATGGGACCCCTTTGGCTAACAACTCAATTAGATGCAATCCATTCCCACTACTGGAAGCTTTATTTGGTGACAACAGATGTCCAGTTGGGCTCTATCTTCCCTATTACTTGGAGATCTCATTTAGATACTCTTCATATCTCTATATATTTTTAAAAGTTTCCACTGGCTGGGCGTTGGTGGCGCATGCCTTTAATCTCAGCACTCGGGAGGCAGAGGCAGGCAGAGCTCTGTGAGTTCGAAACTAGCCTGGTCTCCAGAGTGAGTGCCAGGATAGGCTCCAAAGCCACAGAGAAACCCTGTCTCAAAAAACAAAAAAAAAAAAAAAACAGTTTCCACTGTGTTGGGTTCCCGTAACACCTCTCAAATGGCCCTTAATTTTAGCAACCTCTTCTTGTATTCCCTCCAACATTTCATTTTGATGTCCCCTTCCCCATTTGATCTTCCCGTTTCAGTCCCCACTGTTCTCATTCCTTTGTATCATCTGCCTGTACTGTTCTGTCTCTAAGTTTCCTTAGGATTGTTATTTTGAATTACCCTCCATGAATTTGCTAAATTTCTTAGAGCTGGTCTTTCTGGAGCAATGGTGCTCACTGTAAGAGGTGTCGTGGTTTCTTTCTTGACACTCATGTCCCTACAGTGATGTGTGTGCATGTAATGTGACCTCTTATGATGTGTGGATGAGACAGAGGGTGTCTCAAAAAGCAAGCCTAGTATGGTGGTGCACACCTGTAGTCCTGGCACTTGGGAGGCAGAGGCTGGTGGATTTTTAGGAGTTCAAGGCCAGCCTTGTCTACACAGTGAGTTTTAGGACAGCCAGGGTTGCATAAGAGACCTTGTTTCAAGAAACAAACAAAAAATTTAAAAAGCTGTCATTTAGGGATAGAAAGATGGCTTGGTGGTTAAGAGCACAGGCTGCTCTTGCAGAGGATCCAGGTTCAATTCTCAGCACCCATGGAGTGGTTCACAACTGTCTGCAACCCCAATTCCAAGGGATCTAACCTCTGCAGGCACCAGGCATAAGGCAGATATGATGCAAAGACATGCAGGCAAAACACCCATTCATGTTTTAAAAAATATCAAGAAAAAAGCCCATTGATGGCCTTATCATAAGGTTTCATCTAAGCCAGATCATTCCACTGGAGCATACAAGCACATGACAGGTCACACATGCAATCCAGTCCTCTTAATCAGCAGCATTTAGAAGTTCATCAGTGATCTCATTTCCATTTAAGAGCCACAGTGACTGCTGGGTGCAGACTACAGGGCAGAAGCAGAGACCAATTCATGTCCTCTGCAGTTGCCCATAGGTGCTGCCGATGCTGAGCTGTCCAGCACTGGAGGATCTGGGGTCCTGAAGAGATCATACTCTGGATGTGTAGCTGACAATGTACAGGTGTACTGACTGGGTTTCTGCAGTAAAACTATTCAGATCTTTCTCGTGGCTTCTAGAATAATGCTCTCCCATACTGGATGCTCTCTGACCTTTTTCCAAAATCTTCCTCATCTCAGCAACATGTATGTATGCAGATGTCCCTTCTCTAGCAAGGCAGTTTGAACCAGCTCCACAGCTCTGAAAATGACATCTCTGGGGCTGGAGAGATGGCTCAGAGGTTAAGAGCACTGGCTGCTTTTCCAGAGGTCCTGAGTTCAATTCCCAGCAACCACACGGTGGCTCACAACCATCTGGAATGAGATCTGGTGCCCTATTCTGGTGTGCACATAAACATGGAAGCAGAATGTTGTATACATAATAAATAAATAAAAATCTTAAAATAAAAAAGAAGAAAATGACATCTCTGGCTAGCATCACCTTACTGCATAGTGCATACATCCATTGTGTGTTTAGCAGGCATCTCATACTAATCACAGCCAAGTCTGTCCTGGCCACGCTCATCCCCACCCCAGTAATGCCTGCTGCTGCTGCTTGAGCTGTTAAAGGCCCAGACAGGTGAGTCCATATTCTCAGTTGTGTTGCTCTTATTATTATCAGCAAATCCTTTTATCTTTGTAAGGTGTTGTCGGTTTTTGGCTTTAAAATATGCCTAGAGCAGTGGTTCTCAACCTTCCTAATGCTATGACTTTTTAATACAGTTCCTCATGTTGTGGTGACCCCAACCTTAAAATTATTTAGTTGTGCCAGGTGGAGGTGGCATATGGCTTTAATCCCAGCCCTTGGGAAGGCAGAGGCAGGTGGATCTCTGTGAGTTCGAGGCCAGCCTGTCTACAGAGTGAGTTACAGGACAGGCTCCAAAGGTACACAGAGAAATCCTGTCTTGAAAAACAAACAAACCAAAAAACCAAAAAAACAAAACAAAAAAAATTGCTACTTTGTAACTGTAACTTTACAAGTGTTATGAATCTAATGTAAATATCTGATATGCAGGATATGTGATGTATGAAAGGGTCATTTGACCCCCACGTTGAGAAGGACTGCTAGGACCTAGATTCTGGCATCTAGCTACTGTCATCCTGCATCTTCCATTTGCAAGACTTGAAACAGTTCACTAACTATGCTATGAATTGCAAATTTTTATTATGGTCCAGGCTGGCCTTTCATTTATGGCAATTCTCCTGCCTCGGCCTCCTAGTGCTGAGATTACAGGCAGGAGACATCATACTTGATTGGGGACTGAATCTAGGGCATTGTATGTGCCAGGCAAGAACACTGCCATAGAATTACAATCACAGTTAATGGAGTTTGAAGATACTTGTATACTGATTACCCTGTGCAGGAGGTTCTTGATAGAACTTAACATCTATTTGAAAAAGAAGGTGGGGTCTGGGCAAGCAAATATTTATCAAATGTACTTCCTTTTCACCAAAGTGGAAGGCTCATGGGATATAGAATGTTGGCTGTTGGGTTAAACTTGGGGATGCAGTACCCACTACTTGTTCTTCCTGTCTGTTTCCTGGGGAGATTAAGGACAGTGACTGCAGGGTGGAGTGAACTGTGCTTTGTGCTTGCTCTGTCTTGGAGGAAACAGGAAACCTCCATATTGAAGACCAGGCAGACTGCCAGTCCACAGGACACCAGATGTCAGCTGCAGCTGGGGCGATAGATGCTCAGTGCTTATAGAACCAGCTTCTCTTGCAGAGGACCCAGGGTCAGTTCCTAGAACTAACATGGCAGCTCACACCTCTGCCTCCTGAGTGCTGGGATTAAAGGCCTGCGCCACCACTGCACATCATTTTTTTTTTAATCAAATTCAATAGAAAAATAAAATGTTGCTATTATGAGCTCAGCACTGCTAGGGGCTCTGTGCTGAGGCTGTTTCCTGTGCCCAAGTACCTATTAAGTAACAGAGGTTTAGCCTTGTCCAAAAAACTTTAAAATGAAAGATACCAAAGTACAAGGATGACTAGTCTTGAGTGATGCTTCGTCTGAAGGGGGAAAGGCCTTCTTACTCATATTTATTTAAAACGACCTCTATTTTATGAACAGTAGCTGACAGGGCAAGTTAGAACATTCAGATCTCATAAAAACATTCATGATATAATAGTTGTTACTGAGGTGAGCAACACAAGTACAGACAACACATTACACTAAACAGTGCAGATGCAGCATGCCCGGAAAACCCCTTAGTCAGTCAAAATTGCCCTGCAGATACAAGATATCAATATCAGTGATCCATGAGAAGACCTTAAATAAACCTCACTTGGGTGGAGGCCTCGCAGATGGAACTCCCCTTTGAGGGGGCTGGCCTGCACCCTCTGAGGTTTCTGTTGAAGAGGATGATGAACTCCCTGGAGATACTGCTTCTTGTACTTCGGACCAGAGGTAGGCGATCAGCATCAGAGCACACAGTAAAAGGACAAGAAATATAGGGACCACAAGCACCACCACTTTCATGTTTACCTCCTCATCGTCCGCCTTAGACTGGGTTTTGTCGCCAAAAAGTACAAACAAACTCAAGTTTCGATCCGCTGGCTTACCAACAGGACCACTGTCCACACTGCCCCCATCTCCTGGGCCGTTGCAGTCTGGAGGGGCAAAACCATCGTCACAGTGACAATGCCTGAGATTGTTGCACACTCCTTTACCGTGACACAGCTCCTCTGGCTTGCAGTTGTACTGGAGCACTGTGTGGTCAGTACAGTAGTACTCCATGCAGACTTTGTTTGGGGCACAGTAAGTGCCGCTCTGCACATCTCCAAAGTCAGGGACATCAGTAATGTTATAGGCATCCATGCTCCAGCACCAATCATCTCCATAAGGAACCTGGAGCAAGGTGTGTTGGGGTCTGACTTGCGGCAAGTACCTAACATCTGTACATATCAGCTTCCCACAAAACACATCATCATCGGAACACGTTTCATATCGTGCGTTAGCTGTGGTGGGATGGCCACAGTTTCCAAACCGGTTCCCTTTGGTGTTCATTAAAATATAACAGTCGTCAGGGGCGGATCTTGCAGGGTATCCATATATCTTTGTGCATTGCTTATCAGGGTTCTTACACCAACCCCCAGAGCAGTAATAAATCCTGTCACACAGCGTGCCATCCTGCTTGTAGCTGTTTGCAGGACATTCTTGAGAAAGGCCATTACAGTACTCAGGCAGGTCACACACATCCTCAACAGGACGACACAAGACCCCTTTCTTTTTAACATGACATTTGTAGCAGCAGAGTCCGTCACTACACTCTGCACCTAATTTCAGTCTACAGGTTGGGTCACAGCATGGGTGATGGTCACAGGCAGGACCACAGTCACACTGCTCCCAATCCTCCACCACACCATTTCCACAACGGGTCGCTCTGCGCTTACGGCTTTGGTGCCAAGGCCTGTCGAGCAGGCAGGCCCCTCTGTGGTCATGGAGGAAACGGTAGAAATCATCAGAGCTGCAGTTGCTGAAGCCACTGCCCTTGGTGATATTCTCGTGCATGAGGCAGAAGTGCTTATGGTCACAGATGCAGGCCTGGTGGTCGTGCTGGATACCCAGGTTGTGCCCCAGCTCATGGGCCATAAGCGCCGCAAACAGCAGGACATCTTCATGAGGGAAGGCCTCCACAGCTGCTGCAAACCCGCCTGAACAGGCACCATGGAGAAACGCCTGGCCCTCGTTCTCTCCTGGGTGATGCCCGACGATCAAGTGTGCAACATCGTGCCTGAGCCGGCCCACGAGCTTCTCCTGTCTCCAGCGGTTGAAATCCCTCAGGGTAGCCTGCAGATCCACCGGGGCCTCGATCGGGTCCCCCTCTGTCCAGATTTCCATCCCCACCAGCACCACCTCTGTGTTTAGTCCCCTAGTGAAGCTGTTGGTCAGAGCAATGATGTCCACTACTGCCCCGACCGTCTCGTTGACACTGCTGCCCCACATCTGAAAGCGCTGGTGGTTGACCACGACAAACATCTCCACATACTTGGTGTGTGACCTCAAATCAGACAGTTCCCATGGGTCATCGGGCTTCCCGTTCCTTTGTTGCTGGCTGGTGTCCCCTGAACTGCCTTTGGGAGTGACGCTGCAGGAGGCTTGAGGCTGAAGGCCCACGGTGTACAGAATGTGTTCAAACCCTTTGGAAGAGAGAATAGGCTCGATGCTGTAGGATGTGTCCTCCTTAATCAGGATGCCCCTGAGGCCGGAACAGATGTTGACAGAAACAAAAGAGCCTGGTACCCCTTCCATGTAGCCTTCATAGTGGCAGTCCTGAGAGAGGAGAGGCATTTCTTGCTCCAGGATGCCATTGTGGTAACTGTAGACTGGGAAGTTATTCACAGAGTAGTCTCCCTTTACCTTTAGGTGAAGCAGCTGCTGCTGGCCCTGTATCAACAGCATGTAGGACACCCTTCCTCCAGGATCTTCACTCCCCTCGACTGGCAGTCTCTTGGGGATGACCGTTTCATAAGAAGAGTAATATACAGGTCCTATGTCACAGAATGTACTTGGGAGAAAAATTAATAGTACCAAGATCCCTATTTTGACAGATGGGTGTCCTGGCACTAGTCTCAGACCCAAGTTCAACTGCTGGGCAGCCCAAATGTGAGATGTTATCTTAGCTTCCTTTAAGGCCACTTTGGTTATCTGTAGAGAAGACAGAATGGAGGTAATCCCTTTCACTGATGCCGCCACTGACATGGCCCAAAGAAACCGTTATGTAGGATCTATGTCCATCAGCGGCACTCCTCCCTGATAGGTTTTTCCCCCGACTCAGAAACCCAGATCTGTGCTTGTCCCTTGTGGGCTGCTGTCCATCTTGATTCTTACAGTCTTCAGGCTGTCTCTCTCTGTTCTTCCTTCTCTCCTGGGCCTCGGTGGTTATGGACAGTGCAGGGATTCCTTCAGTGTTGCTTAAGTTCCTTGATGTTCATGGAGGCGAGCCCTGTAGTCTGCAATGACTCAGCCAGTTCTGTAAGTCAGATCATCTTTCATTCTCTCCAGGCCGTGGACATGACATCTGTTATCTTGCTTATTCTTTTGGGCCCAACATTCTGGCAGGGTTGTGGGGGAGGGGTCAGAGCTTCTCAGGGTTCTCTGAACAATTAAGAATTCTCTGTTGTCCTGCCTCTTTCCTCATCCTAATAGTGGTCATACTTACTGGTGCTTAGTTCTCTTTTATCCATGACTGCTTTATCCCTTTCATTCAGGAGAATAGTATTTGGATGTTCTGCTTTTGCTCATCCCTTGTGTATGTACCTAATGAATTTTGACAGTTTACACCCACTTCGAACATGGTCCTTCTTTATGGAGTGCTTCTAAGGCATAAGTGTTAAATGGTCTCATTTTTACCACAGAAATGTATTAGAGCCTGTAATCTAGGTTAGTCCTCCCAATGGCCTCATCATAAAAATAAAATGGTAAGCCGGCCAGGGGTGGTGCACGCCTTTAGTCCCAGCACTCGGGAGGCAGAGGCAGGTGGGTCTCTGTGAGTTCCAGACCAGGTGGTCTACAAGAGCTAGTTCCAAAACCACAGAGAAACCCTGTCTAGGAAAACAAAACAAAACAGAAAAAAAATGGTAAAACAGACTGGTGACTCTAGTTTCAACAATGAAGAAAATGAAAACGAGCTCTGAAAGAACCCTGAAATTCCCACACTTGTCTCTTGACTACAGTGGGCTTCTGTCTGTGTAAATCCCAGACTTTAGTTTCACCTTAATGTTCTTGGTGTGCATAACAGTATAGATTTAGAAGGAAACAGAAGCTATGTGTACATATCTCTTTCCCCATTTCTTCATTCATTCTCCCACATATTCTAAGATTCAAATAAAACTCTACATCTTCTACATGGCATGAAAATAATTTTAAATTCTAAGGTATAACTACATGTAACAGTTGAAAATGGAGAAGTGCCCTGTTTGTTTCAGAGAGGTGGTGCACTCCTATAATCTCAACACTTAGGAGGCAGAGACAGGAAGATCACAAGTTTAATGCCAGCGTGGTCTCTGCATAACTTGTGAGCCAGACAGGGATACTAACCAAGACCTTCCCACAAAACAAAACAAAACAAAACAAAACAACTGCCACCACCAAAAAAAATTATATAAAACCATCTTAGATATCAGAGATTAATCAATTGACGATGCCTACCCTCATCCAGTGATGCTTAGCTCCTATCAGATGGTGCTGGAGAGATGGCTCAGAGGTTAAGAGCACTGACTGCTCTTCCTGAGGTCCTGAGTTCAATTCCCAGCAACTACATGGTGGCTCACAACCATCCGTTATGAGATCTGGTGCCCTCTTCTGGTGTGCACATATACATGGAAGCAGAATGTTGTGTACATAATAAATAAATAATCTTAAAAAAAAAAAGCAATCCTTATATTGATGTTTCAAAAAATTTCTGCTGGGTGGTAGTGGTGCATGCTTTAAATCCCAGCACTCAAAGAGGCAGAGGCAGGGAAATCACTGTTAGTTTAAGGCCAGCCTGGTCTACAAATCGAGTTCCAGCTTGGACCATTACACACAGAAAACCTTGTCTTGAAAAACCTAAAATAAATAAGAATTTCTGAGAGGCATTTTCCTATGGCTACACTGTGTGTGAGGCAGAAAGACACTGCTCTCCAGTGAGCAGACATAATTGTGTTAAGACACACTCCATCTGAGTGACAAGCAATGGTCTCAGTGAGCAGTCAGTGATGATGTAGTAAACTGGAGATGACAACCCAATGCCTGCCAGCTGTCCTTGTAATGTTTCCAGACATCAGTGGTAGGCAGGCAGGCAATTACCAGGATAAGGTTTAATCTCCAGCTAGGTGTAGACTTTGTACTATTAGCAATACTGACTCATGTTAAAACATAATTTACTTCTGGCCTAGGAATATACAAAGAAAACTCAGCTTTGGTGCAGAATACAGAGTCTCTTGAGAACTGCAATTGTTTGGGAGAATTTTGCCCAGGGTCACACCTTCTTGTGAGTGGCAACAGGGGCATCACATGGTTTACGGACATCCAACAGGTCTCATTTGAACAAAGGTGAATATGGATTTCATTAAGGCGCTAGGTGAATTCAGCCTGAAGCTGCTGAAAGAGTCAAGCATGCTCAGACAAGCAACCATCAAGATGTCCTTTCCAGTCACAGCTACAATTCACCTAAGCTTTTAGAAGATGCCCTGATGATAAATTTCTAAGATGAAGGGTAAGTCAGTGTGCCAGCAAGTTCCTTTAAAGCACTTCTGTCCCCATGGGTACACTGGATTCTTGTCCCAGTCAGGCGTGATGATCTGGGACAGGTTCACTGAAGAACAACATCCCCTTAAGCCAACTCTCAGCTACATCTTTCTGCTCAGAAATTTGGCTAACACTTGTTTTTCTCTGCTGCCTACCCTGGGATCTCGCTACCCTGAAAAGTGCCCCCACTTCTCACCACAGCACCAATCACTCAAGAGCAATGAACCTTTTCTCCCACTGCAGTCTCCAAAGATACAGCTGTTTTTATCACACAACCCCAGTCAGTGGCATAGTCCTGAAGAAAAGTGAACTCATTCAGGAGCTCGGAAACAACAAAGCCCAGAAAAATCCTTTTTCTTCTTCTTCTTCTTCTTCTTCTTCTTCTTCTTCTTCTTCTTCTTCTTCTTCTTCTTCTTCTTCTTCTTCTTTTTTTTTGTTTTTTGAGACAGGGTTTCTCTGTGTAGCTTTGGAGCCTATCCTGGCACTCGCTCTGGAGACCAGGCTGGCCTCAAACTCACAGAGATCAGCCTGCCTCTGCCTCCCGAGTGCTGGGATTATCGTTGTGTGCCACCAACGCCCGGCTAGAAAAATCCATTTTGATTGAAGCAGATGAGACAGAACTGAATGACTGAGACAGAGGGCTTGTCCTACCTGTGAACTCTTCTGGCTGCAAGCAAAAACAATCACCTAAAAACAGCTCTAAAAAGCTAACACTACCAGAGGGGCTGGGTGTGCCTATACACAATAGGTAACAAAACAAAAAGCTGCTTTCTGGGCCCTAATGATGCTTCCTGAAATTAAAGGGCCCTGAAGAAAAGAAACACAGCCAGGAGGAAGCCAATAAATCTAGGCAGAACCACTACTTAAGGACAGCGTTAAGAGAAAAATGACCAAACAAAATTGGGTCCTCTCTGATGCTGTTTCTCAGCAAAACTACCAGAAAGAGGCCAGGGGACTAAATGATTATACAGTGAAGCTGTGAAGGAGGCACAGGACAGACAGGGTGCCAGGGAAGAGAAAGGGAAACCAAGTGAAAACCATGAAGAGTAAGCCCCAAAGCAAATCCTAGCAGGCTGAAGGAACACACCAACACCCTTGACAAGTACGACAGAATGGAAATACTGTTTTTCTCTGGGATCAAAGACAAGAGAAGCAAAATCCACACTCCTGCTTTGCTGCCTTTAGTGGCCCCAGGCCAAGGAGTATACATCCTGGGAGCTATAGAAGGTAGTTGGCAAAACCTGATTCCTAAAAAACAGGTCAGCACTAGAACTAATCTAGACAAGGTACAGGGAGCAAACACCCAAGGCAAATGGAGTGAGGCTCCATTTGTAAACTGGTGCTTGATACAACAGTTTACAGAGCAGAAAGCCTGGCATGGCTCCTTTACCTGCATCTGGCAAAAGGTTGTTAATATTTTCTTGACAGTGTCATCTTACAAGATTCAACTATCCTATGTTAATAAGTAAAAGAGTTGAGTTTTTTTTTTTTTTTTTTTTTTAAGGAAAACAGTTAACTGTTAAGAAACTGTGAACCTAAATCTATATAGCAACATTAAGCAATGAGGAAATGAAATTATGATTTATTAATTTACATAAAAATTACTTTTTACATTAAGGAATAATTTTTCCAATTGTTAAAAACAGTTTGAAGCTTTTACTACTGGGGCTCATGGGGAACAGTCTGCTCTTCGATCACTTGCTTTACAACCTCTGCCAGCTTCAGTCGGTCTACTTTATCTGTGAATCCACGACCTGAAACTCAAGAAAGAGTGAGGTCAGTTTCCAACCCCTCACATGCCTGGAGCCAGCACACACACACACACACACACACACACACCCACCCACCCACCCACCCACCACACGAGCTGGAATATGGCCCAATCCAGGAGCAGTTCAGATCCTCTGTTTTCAAGCAGCAACTGAGCATTTTCACAAACCACATAACCAGTGATAACTGGATGTACATCTGACCAGGTAGTCAAACCCAAGCACATTAAAAACTCCTAGAAGTGGGCCTTGTTGTGCTCGCCTTTAGCCCCAGCACTCAGGAGCCAGGCAGATCTCTGTGAGTTCCAGGACAGCCAGGGCTACACAGAGAAACCCTGTCTCAAAAAACCACCAAAAAAAAAGTAACAACTGGGTAGAAAGGAAGACCAAAAGTTAAAACAGGTGCATACCAAAGGGGAACTTAAGTGGTCAGTATGCATCTAAGCAACACAAGGTAACTAGGCCAAATGCCAACTAAAGCCACACTGCAGTGAGTGACACTACAAAATCAGAAAGCAAAATGCAGCAGAGCTGGTGCAGCGGCTGCTGCTGCCCAGAGCCCCAAGCGCCTCCACTGAGCACCCTGAACTCATGCAACTGCTCTCAAAACCTGGATGACAGGGACTGCTAGTAAGGTTCATCCAATTCTGTGAGGTGAGAAACTATTTCACAGGCTGTTTATCAAGACACAGAAAAGTGTTCTCAACAGCTCTTTCCTTGTTTATTAAACCTCAAAAAAAGAAAATGTCCCCTCAGTGGTGAGTGGACAGTGTACTCATGAGAATGTGGATGGAACTCACAAATACAGTACTGACTAAAGAAGCCAGAGACAAAACAACGTAGACCTGTCTGATTTTGTTTATATAAAATATAAAACCTGGGGCAGGAGAGATGGTTCAGGAGTTAAGAACATTTGCTGTTCTTACAGGACGCAGGTTCAGTTTCCAGCACCCACATGGTGGCTCACAGTTAACTCTCAGCTTCAGGGACTCCCACGTCCCCTTGTGGCCTGTGCAGACACTAGCACACATGTGCTACACCGACATACATGCAAACACTCAAAACAAACAAACCAAAAACCCTACAGACTACAGAATAATCAGGGTTGGAATGGCCTTTGAGTGGATGCTGGGTAGAGCCAACTGCCTTTCTTTCTACTGACTGATAGAGATGCTGGCTGGTACACAGCAGTATTCGCTCTCTGTACACTCACAGTACAGATCACTTTTCCAGACCCATCACACAGTTCATGCTTTAAAACAAATTCCCAGCCAGGCATTGGTGGCACATGCCTTTAGTCCAGCACTCTAGAGGCAGAGGCAGGCAGATCTCTGTGAGTTCAAGACCAGCCTGGTCTACAAGTGCTAGTTCTAAGACAGCCTCCAAAGCCACAGAGAAACCCTGTCTCGAAAAACAAAACAGAACAACAACAAAAATTCTAGGCACATTGAGGAAACATGAAAGGGGACAGAGTCAAAGCACACACTTCCTCCCTTCCTCAGACACTGGCGTGGCACGGGTCTGGTACAGTCTACTGAACTGGAGCTGCAATGTCAACCCAGGCTGCTGAGCAGAGTAGGGAAGAGGTACCTCTCTGCTTTGTTCTCCTGGGGAAGTAGTTTGCCCAGTGGCAGATCTGGAAACCCTTCTCAGCCAAATGACTCTGAGCTGAACAGATGGTTTTGGGGAACTTTCTGGTACTCCCCCACTGCATGGTATTGGTCCTTGGCCACCTGGTGAACAGCCCAGGAAATGTGGGGCAAGAATCTGGTTTTGCTTTTGTCTTTTTTCCCTGCCAAATATTTGGCAGAAGTCTGCAGTGTTCATTTTGTAACATACCATGCACTGCCCTTTGAAAACATGTGCAGGGAGCAGATCCCCGATGTGCCTGGGCAGGTGAAGTAGGGCCTGCCCCGACCTCCTCCTCCTCACACACCACCCTCACCTGGCCCCAGCCTCAGAGACCATCTGCGTGTACAACAAGGGAGCTGGCTGGGTCTTACCGTTCCAGCTGAAGCCCTGCAGTGCATCCCTCAGGAGTTTGCACTCCCGGTTGTACTTCCAGGCTTCCTGCATCACTTCATCCAGCCTCTCATCTTCATTCTCTCCTATGCACAAGAATGAAGAGGAAGTTTTCATTTTTCTGTAGCATCATGGGATTTTATAGTGTCAGATATGGAAGGACAGGGTGTCAACTAGTTAAGAAAAGGATGACACAACATGCATCATTTGCTAGACACTGGCTTCCTGCGGGTCCTGGAGTTCCAGGCTGACCTTCTTGTCACTGAGCTCTTTTAAGTCTGCATCGTCACACAAACGCTCTGACAACCCCAAGACTTCATGGTATTGGGAGTTAGAGAAATGTGAGAGATGTTTCTAAACAAAAACATCTAGCCAAGAAAGGGAGGAAGAACAAGGCTATGTGTGCTGACCTCTTCCTACAATCATCCCTTGCTTCAAAATATCCAGGCTGTTCCCAGAGTACTCTTAAATGGCAAAGGATTTACTAAGATGGGTTATTCCAACTTTTTCTGACCCCACCTAATATGAAGCTTCATTCATTAGCTGAGAACGGACGCTCACATCACAGCCATGTGAACAGGGAGGCTCTTGGGATGGGGGCTCTCTCCTGTAAAGTCCAGGGATGGAAGCCGCAGCAGCAGGGCTAGGTGTGAGCTTGTGCGGTGTCCTTATCCTTACACTCACAGATGCACAGTGTTTCATTGCTCTGGAAGTGGTGCTGATGGCCTCTAGCCAATACCTAGACCTTGTCCACATTTCCATTCTTCACCCTCTAACTTTGTACCTTCATTGCAAAACTCAGACAACACAAATCACATGCCACACCTGGCACTGGCAGTTAGCCTGAACTAGAACTTCACAGAAGACCAAAGACACAAACTTACCATGTGTCTGCACTTACTGTCTATGCTTCCTAGTAGATGTGGGCTCATTTACATAATGTACTTAGTGTAAGAGACAGACAGACCA